ATATATATATATGTATATAGATATAGATATTACAGGATCATTTTACTTATGTTAACTAATATTCATGCACTAAAAAGTCGTTATAGTTAGAGATTTGCTTGAAACATCCGATAATCCGATATTGTTTAAGTTGCGATGTCACTATCGATCCTACTGCCAACAAACTAAGAAACACCGGAGTGACAGTGACTATTTCGCCTAAACTCTGGAACATCTTCAATGAAAGTGGAGAGCTCATCAATGATGTTCTTGAAAACATCGAAATTCCTGAATATAGTGGAATGGTAAGAAAAAGTCCCTTGTCTCTTAGACATATTATTAACTCAAATTGTCCTCAATTCATAATTTTAGTTAACAAAATTTCTTCTAGATTCGTCCTTTCTTGAGATATAGGCTCTGGGATGGGCAAATCGGAGGCTTTGCTATTTCAAAAGATAGCATTTCTGTCAAAAAGATGGGTGGTTACGTACATTTAAGTGTAAGCCCTTTATGGTTTAATAAGTGCAATCGGCCAAGGGTTTCGTACCCCATAGTCATTTCAGGTAAAAAACGTGGGTTTTAACGGTGTTATAACGGTGCAGGCGCAATCGGACTTACTGAGACTAAATTTTAGTGGCCAGATTAGGTAAAGTACATATTTTGAAATATTTTCGTTCATAGTGGTATCTACTATACAGAGTGTCGTCCCAGAATACGCGTTTGGAAGTTACTTTAAAACGGGATGACCTCCTCATTTACCCCGTAACCGAATTGTGGCCGGACCTCGATATTACGTTCACCGATGATTTTGGTATACTGAACTACTTAAAACCAGTAATTCAGAGAACTGTTTCTTTAGTGCTTTACTACGTTATACCTAAACGGGTAAGCCGCAACTTATTACGTAAATTTTTCAATAAAAAAGGATTTTTAGGTGAGTGAAATAGTGGATACTAAGCTGAATCCTCTTCTGCGCAAAGCCAGACAAAGTCTCGTTGAAAATATCGGTAATGGTTGGATCGTACAGACTAGTGTGCAAGAAAAATATCTGCAAATTGCTCTCAAACCCACAAGGTAAACGAACGTTTAAAAATTTATAGAAGACCAGCCACAGTGCCTGTATCCCATACGACATCGTGTGCATTTATTTGAAGATATTTCATTAAGTGATGGGATGTGTAAGAAAGGTAATCGTGCATTGCTAGCATGAGTGACTTTTCTAAGTTAACTCGTACATTTAAAAGTCTTCCAGCAGCCTTTGACAACTTCTTGAGGGATACAGAGCCTAGTTTACTTCGTAAACTGCAAATAAAATTTCACTCGGTCTCTTTGTGAGGCAGTCATCTATGCATTGTATGTGGAGAAAATAGTGAACGCCGTCACGCTTTATTGAATCGTCAATTACTCTTTAGAATGGTGGACTGTGTGCATGTACGCTCCTTGCTCTCCATTTTTGGAATTCACAGTCTCACCGCTTGATCCCAAACATACTAGGATTGACGCCCTTCTATTTATGTTTTAGCGAAGCCGGCGTGCTTGTGCCTGTAAGGCCTATTGACAAAATGATTTGCGCTGATATCTTTTTCCGCGATATTCTTTTGGGATTCCTTTCTACAAGAGAGAAAAAGCTCATGGCTACTCATTCAAGAATTCAGTTGCCCATGACTAATCGCTCGAGAGTTCAGGTAAGTAAGTAATGGAATTTATCTGAATAATCTTCAAATCGTTGTTCATTTCAGTCAATAAATGATCTGGATGTCAACTGCGTGGCGCCGCAATTAAAGTGCAAAAATCTTCACTGCCAGTTCTGTACGGATATAGGGATTTTCCCTAAGTCCGCGAACAAAACTGACATTTTTCATGGTTGTATATTCTAATATGTAAAAGCAGAATATGAATATGGTTGAAAAACATTACAAGATACACGAAATAAAAGTCTACATGTATTTAGAGTTTTACCTTCTCCAGAATAAAATACAACAAAAGTCATAATTATAAGAAGGAGGATATCGTGCTAATCAAGAACGAGTATATTACACAGAGATACAGCGTCGAGATGCAATGTTAAATAGATATAACTTAGATAGATGATAGTAGATGTAACTTCCGTAAAAACGTTTTTTTTTTTTCATTTGATCGTGTAATAAAGGTGCAGTTGGTGCAAATATTCTATACACACACAAGAAAGTATTGTCTTTCACGCCATAGTATTTTATGGAGTCATCCCCTTCCACATCCTGCCGTTGGTGCGCTCTGGTAGTCCTTCGTTCTCATTTCACATTTGGCTAAACACATACT